AAAGAACAACGTAGAAGAAGAGGCAGAAGGAATCCTCTAGACAATCTAGCTGTGTTATTATTCTCGGGCACAAGTTCACCCTGCCTACCTTAGCCTATTAAAAAGTTCATTGAAGAGTGCATTACAATATGCTCGACCACCTCGTCATACCCTGAATACCATCTTCCCGTGTTTGGACCACCATGATCCCTGCATATCTGAGATAATCTGTCGGGCAGAAGAAGCTAGACGCCTTGCTTATTGGTGCACTCTTGCTTTGCAAGAACGCTCGAAGGCACATTTTGACCACCCACGCCGACACGTAACGTACAATCGCGGCGACCCAGTGTTGCTGTGGGCACCAACTAGAAAACGCGGTTTGAGCAAGAAACTGCTAGCGCACTATGCGGGGCCTTATCTTGTTCTAGACGGTATCAGTGATTTAGTTTACCGCATAGCGGGTCTCCATTCGAACGGCCGACGGTCTGCAAAAACTGAACTTGCCCATGTTGCACGTTTAAAGCGCTTTATTCCTCAAGAGACTGTTTGACTCGCCCAGTGGGCTTCATCTGCGCATGGGAAATATTACCACATATGTAATTCAGGTATGTGCACCTGTGTAGCGGGGAACAGGGTGGTGGCAGAAAAAGAGGACGTTCGGTTGGTGGCAAGAGCTCGCTGATGCGCGTTCACTGCTGTATACCGCCCAGTCAACCGTTACGTCGACTCTGAATAAACACCTCTCATAGACGTAACTATGTATGTATATATATATATATATATATATATATATATATATATATATACAGTCGAGCACGCTTATAACAAACTTGAGCTTGACGCGGCATTCGTTCGCTGTATCCCGAAGTTCGTAGTAAATAAAACACAGCTTTTAAAAAAGTTGTGAGTGAAAACGCAAACTTTTCTTGCGCCAAAAAGTCCGTGATGCACATGTTTCGAAGAGCAGAAGCAATAAGGGCGGTCTCGAGTGCATTTAAAACGGCAGGGTGCTTGTTCAGCCGAGGCCCGTAGCATCAGCTACATGAGGCACTGGCTCCAAAGGTTCATCGTTCTCGCTATCCGATTCCTCCAAATCGCTCTCGCCACGTACTTCATTCACAATGTCCCAATTCGTGCACGGTTTCGCAGTGTCGGCCTTATCGTCGGCCGTACTTAAACTACCGCAACAGATGTCCCACCCGCTCTCTCAAGTCGGAGTCGACGACGCGCTGCTACAAATCGCCGCCTGCAGTTCGGAAGCCTCTTGAATCGACATCGGGCCGGACGTCGAGGAAGTCGGCCTCGCGAAAACAGTTTCGCGCGCATGTAGCCGTCACCGCCGCCCACGAAATATTCACGAAATATCCACGCTCAGCTGAATACCTGGACGCCTGAAGCGGAAAGTTGGCTGCCAGGTGGTCAATAGCTATGAGAAAGCGCTCCGCAACACGGCACCTAGCGCGCGGATTACGCTCAAGCCAAGCGGTCACACTTTCGACGTTTTGTTGAGCGGCAGAAAAAAGCGTGCTAGTTCTCCCGTCGGCCACCATGACCACACACGCACACCAAGAGCGAGCAAGACGCGCACACGTGACACACATGCCAAAACTCGTGGAACAGCTCTGGGCCCGTTTCCAATCAGAAAACCACGGCAGAAAACGAAACTAATCAGAGCCAGCGTGGCGGGCGTTGCGGAGCGGTGGAGACGTGCGAAGGTGTTGTGATCAAGCACAGAGTGATCAAGAGAGGAGAGCAGACTTGCGAGAAAAGGGCAAGGAGTTACAATAAAGAGGGGGAAGAATGCGGCGAGAGGGCGACCTTGAAAACCAAAACACACGGGAAGGAGGCACGCTGGGTAGCTCGCTTGAAAGGTCCACGAAACTCGCACGTAAAATAACTCGGAAAGAGTGCCTGGGCGCGGCGGTGTTCGAAGAATCGATGGCCTTGTTGAAAAATCGTTTTGTTACGCCAGCAGGTTGGTGTGGCCTCAAGAACTTCGATATTTTGCAAGTCGTTACGCACAAATTAACGGCCGTTTTCGCGCTTCCACACGCGCGCGGAAGCCGAGTGTGAAGTGAGCGAGAACAAGTCCTAAACACAAAACGAACCGCAAATTATCAGAGTCGGTGGGGTAGCGTATGCGCGTGCACTAGACGCAGACTATCGGATACAGTCGGTGGGCGACGATGCTGGCAAATGGTCTGGTCACTCCAGGCCGGCGACGCCAACGACAATACCAGCGATCAAAAACAGGGTAGATGGCCGAGCAGTCTTCGAAAGATCGGTGGCAGTGTGAAAACATAAGCTTTGTCTGGCGATGCCGGGTGCTCTGAGTAGCGGGGGGACAAAGGACGAAGCGGTGCCTAAAAAAAAGCAGTCGGGGCATGGAGGAAGGAAACAGCTTTCCTTCCTCCATGGGTTGGGGAGAGCGGCAACTAGAGGGTCGCGGAGGCAGGGTCAGCGTTTAACAATAAGAATGTATGGGCACTTTGCCGATGCCTGATCGGTGGTCAAAATTGGTTTCCCGGGAAGTTGGCAGACCGCTGACTTCATTCGCTGTAACCGATCAGCGGCGCTCGGAGACCTTCAATGTAAGTGCGATTTCGTGCGATTGAACCAAATGTATATTTTGACGGTCATGCGGATATTGTTCGTTTTAAGCGAAAGTTCGTTTTAAGTGTGGCCGTTATATGTGGGCTCGACTGTGTGTATGTGTATATATATATATATATATATATATATATATATATATATATATATATATATATATAACCATATGGGGAAGGATGCACCAACCTCTGTTTGCGGAGCAAACATCGCCTTTCCGGCCGCGGTCATTTCACGCACGCTTACCGTAATTACTCGAATCTAACGCGCACCTTTTTTCCGGTTAAGCGAGTTCATAAATCGCATGCGCATTAGAATCGAGTACGAACAAAAAAATTACGGTCAATCTATTGCCATCGGCAAATCCAAAATGGCCGCCCCCTACGTGCGTCGGCATGGTGCGTCGGTCATTTCTGTCTATGTGTTTCCCATGTGCGGCACTTCGTATGTGTGCTGAGGAGTTCGTCATCTAGTAGTGCATTAGCATCGACGGCGTGGAAGGGCTGACTCCGAAAACTCGAGTGCACCACGATGCCGCTTTTAAAAGAAAAGTCATCGCGTGTGCAGAAACGGACGGAAATCGGGCCGCATCGCGGTCGTTCGGTGTTCCCGAAACGTGCATGCGGGACCGGCGGAAACAAAAGCAAAAGATTGTCGACAGCAAAGCTTCACGCAAAGGCTTCAGTGGACCACAGCAGGGCCGGTTTCCGCAAATTGAAGAGCTGCTCGGCGAGTATGTGCTTGAGCAGCGAGCGGCACAGCGGCCCGTGACGACAGAACTGCTCCAAGTGCGGGGTATGCAATTAGCCTTAGAAAAAGGTCTAATGCGGAGCCAGTTTAAAGCGAGCAGCAGGTGCTGGCTAACTTTATGAAGAGAAAAGGCTTTTGCCTCCGAAGGCGAACGGGCATATGCGAAAAGTTTTGCATAGGAATACGATGAAAAGCTTCACAGTTTTCAGAGGTTCGTCCTAAACTTCTACCTGCTTGGGCAAATCGGGAATGCCGATCAGACACCTCTTTACTTCAACATGCCTGGCACCACAACCGTTGAGAAGAAGGGGGCGAAGCAAGTTCATGTGCTGACATCGGTTTACGGTAAAACTACAGTGACAGCAATGCTCTGTTACATGTCAGATGAGCACAAGTTTCGCCCGTACCTCATATTTAAATGGCAGACGCTCACGAAAGCGGTCGTTTTTTCGAGTGGTGTGATCGTGCGGGCCAGCGAGAAAAATAGGTGCGCGTTGCAATCGAATCGGGTGCGCGTTACAATCGAGGGCGCGGTAGAATCGAGTAAATACGGTACCTCGTGAGTGAACGGGAGGGGGGGGGGGGGGGGGGGGGCACGTATGGTTGCCGCGCTATTGCGGCAACGATCAGCGCGCACCTTGTGCCCCTACAGCAAGCAGGAGCACTTACGGCTGTGCTCTCAACACGAAAAAAAACAATGCCATGAGTGTACCTGGAGTGGCTGTGTACTCTTACACCAGTGTTTTGTAGAGTTACGCGAGACAGGATCTGAATGAGTTAACTGCCAGCCTCACTTCGTAAGACATTGCAATTAGTCGCTATAACATTCATTACTTCACCTTTTCTATGAAACTTATTTTGTGCAATCATCCCTGCCACAGTCACGAGTTGCACTTGATAACATGCGCACGAGTATACATCGCCACTGAGAAAGTTTCTTGAGACAAAGCTAGGTATCCAACGGCTATGCACGTTTTGCAGGTTCTGCAGCGTTTGCCATAAGTTTTTCGCGTTCATCTGTACTTGTGATTACGTTTTGTGCATCAATTGTGCATGAGAAATACGAGGAACGTTTCGATCTACTTGCCATTCTTCGCGTGACCGTCCAACTTGTTGCTATCATGTTCATTGCTTCGCCTTTGCAGCATAGCTGTGACTTTTTTCTTACTTTCAAATACATGTTAAAGACACAGGTCCCAATCAAATAGTGAAAAGAATGCTCCATTCTGTCACTATAATTAGCAGTTTATTCAGTGCCACCAGTGCCCTGTGACATGTTTTAGCCGGTCGTTGGTCCTGATGTGTTTTGCAGGATGCGAACCCGGCTGCATATCAGCGAAAAGACTCGAATAGTGTGTCCATGAAAGACAAACAACTAACTTTTATTTCCGTGATTGCGCAGCGACTACGACTTAGTCATGCACACTTGCACTGCTTCCCTGTCTCTCATGCAACATGATAAGATTTTACTGAAAACATGGGAAAGGGTGTCTGGCTGCTGCTATGCGACCATGAGGCCGCCACAGATGTTTCTCTGAAGTTGACGGCAGGCAAATTTTCAGAACTGCAGGCAATAGTCCGGAAAAAAATGTGGGCGGCTAGTGGCCAAACAGCAGCACCGCATGACAATAACGTCAAGCCCAATGTTCACGCCATACACTCACTTGTCGTTCTTGTAAGCCCTCCAGCCTGCTAGCAGACCTTTGCCAAGGAGCTTGTCGGTCTTGCACTTTGGCATCTGCGAAAATGGAGAGATAAACACTGCTTTGTAACTTGGCCGGGACGTTTGCTTCTCAACCTGGTTATGACATGATAAGGTTACTCCATAGCACTGAAAAACGAGGACATACAAAAAGACCAAACAAAATGAGTGTTGTCATTAAACTGAAGGTACTACAAAAAAAGGAGAGCAAAAAGAAAACTTGCAATAGCCAGGTGCATATGTGCCCATGCTTTCTTAGGATGAAAAATGCGTAAACAGGGGTTGTGTTGAGCTGATGTTTCGACACAACCCCTGTTCACTGATTTTTCATCACAATTTGCCATCTTCCCCTTCCTACCGTTTCATGCTTTTTTAGGCACTATGTGGTAATTTCATTATGCCTAACAAATTTTTTCAAGCTCCTTTCGCTTGCGTTTAGCTGCACGAGGGTGGGCTAACTGCTAGCAGAAGACAAATGTTGGTTCACGTGCTTGTTTTGGAGATAGTATAAAAAAGCCTGAGGAGAACCTTCTTGATGAAGACTTTTGAAGCCAAGAGATTGTGTGAGGCATTTTGTAAACCATTTATAATCATGTAGAGCTGCACTCTGTTGAATGACCAACGTGAAGGAACATACAGCAGAATCCTGATGCAAAGAATGCTGCCACTATGAAATTTCCGCCACAATGACGGATTTTCGATATGAATGTCAGCTGCTCAGAGAAAATTGTATGAGTAGTCTCTTCATAGCATAGTATAGTCGCCTCTTTCTGTATGGTATAGTAATCAAGAATATTATACACTCAAACCTCATTAGAACGAAATTCCATGCAGTCGAATCACGCTACAACGAAACTGAAGGGGTGCGAAAAAAATTTCGTTGAAGCGAAAGTTTCGTTGTAGTGAAATCGAAAAAGTATAACCGATCTGAACTAGCAAAACAAAGGAACGTTTATTCTCCAAATTCAAAAAGTGTCCGCTGCTTTTTATTCTATCCCAGCAGCGTCACGACGCCTTTCTCACCCATGCATAGCGAGACAATAGTGAAAAGCACGCTGACACAATGACTACAACCGCTTTCGTGAATGAACCAAACAGTTGCATTAACATGTTAACACCAGCAGCTGTCCGCCTTCAAAACGCCGAGATGGCAGCAGGGTATTGTGGAGCGGTGACTTTTGCCTTATTTTATGCGATTCTTATCATCCATCACTCGCAGCTAGCCGATTTTGTTGATGATGCGGATGAACAGCTGCTCTGATTAGTTCTCACACTGGCCAAGCGCGAACAAAATTATAAGCATTGGAATCGGAAAAGGCATCCTTCCGCATATGCACCCAGCAGCTCCGCGAAGGAAACCATGAACTAAGCAACTGAGCTTCAGCTTCATATTGTCTTCGGCTATACAGTAAACCCAATCTTTAACATTTTGATGCATTTTCAGAACCTGAACATACAACGACAATCTAAAACACGCGTTGGCACCACCAGAAACCACAGCAAGCATGGACACGCCATCGCTATTGAGCAATGACGGCGCCTATGCTTGCTGAACAGCTGTGGTTTCTGGTGGTACCAACGCGTGTTTTAGAGTTCGTCGACGTATTTTCAGGTTCTAAAAATGCATCAAAATGTTAAAGATTGGGTTTACTGTATAGCTATAAATATCTGAGCCTGGAATCGCATTGTGAAATTACTTAGAAGCGGGACGACAAAAGAAAAAGTGTTCGTTGTGGCAACAATACTTATACATTGACTCTTATGGAGTGCTGACGGGGAACCGTGAATTTTTAGTTGTAACGGGAATTTCGTTGTAGTGACATTCGTTGCAGCGGGGTTCGACTGTATTATACGAAAATCAGTTCGTTGTATTCGAAAATTTGTTATAAAGGTTTATTTTTAAGGATATATCTATTGCAAGACTATTTTTCATTTACTTTATTATAACTGATATTTCGTTATAACCGGGTTTGTTATATCGAGGTTTGAGCGAAGTAGTCTGTTCACAACAATCAAATTTCCCTCAGCTATTCTAGCTCTGACAAACTTTCAGCACTGTCGGCTGCAGTGGTGTAGTAGTTAAGATGCTCGGCTGCTGATCTGGAGGCCACGAATTCGATCCCGGCCGTGGCGGTCGCATCATGATGGAGGTGAAACGGTAGAGGTCGATGTACCGTACGATGTCTGTGCACATTAATGAACACCAGATGGTCAATATTGCCAGAACCCTTCAATAAGGCATCTCATAACCATATTGTTATTTTGAAACATTAAACCCCAGATATTAGATTTAAAGTTTCAGCGTTTCAACTGGGTGGGGAAGGAATGCTAACTAGAGATTGCCACATGACAGATCAACAATTTTGCAAGGGCTACTTCACGGAAGTACAAGAACCTGGTGTTCATTTCAAATGCACCTTTCACTACTGTTGTATGACATTCTTACAATTAGGCTGGTGGGCAAGACATTACAAATCTATCATGAATTTCCCCACTAGTACGGCCCATCGATTTCATTGCAGAAGTGTTTGACTGTGGAGGAAGTTTTGCATTCGTTTTAACTGACATGTGACTTTCATTGCGACTAAGTTGAAGCAGCTGTAAAGACACAAACAAGGGTAGGTGCAGAATATCATTTGGATCCTGGCAACTGAGCAAACAAATTTAAGGAAACAACTTCAGTATTGGTAACTGGCAAACCAATTTCATTCAGTCAATACATTTATTTGTAGTGAAAGGGAAAATCACATGCAAGGGTCAGCAGTGTGTTCTAGGGATGGTGAGTGTGCTTATGTCTAATGTGTTAAGTATTTAAGACTGAGAAGATGCGACGCTGCCCTCAGGCAGCAAGTGACATACGCATGTACAATGCTCGTACTTTCACTGCCGCCATGTTCAGCTTGCACCCACTGGTGTAATAATTTGGCACTGCACTTACATCATGGCTCTCAGGCTTATTGTGGCCAGATTATAGCAATACAGCAATTATTTTGAGCACTTGCACACACCAGTAGTTACATTTGAAGTTTTCATGTTGCGCACCAACCCATGAGCACTGTACGTGTAGTGTACATGCATGCAAGTGCTCACTGCACTTAATGCCACTGATTTAATGCCACTAGCATTAGCTTGTGCTGCACCTGTGTGAACAAATTTGTGAAGTAATTCCATTTTCTATCCTCGATAAAGTCTTGAAGACCTGCCTGAGGAGATTTACTGCCTTGACCTCACCAGTCTATGGTTACCGATGTCACAGATGCTCACCTCCACTTCTGTAGCCACGACACCCAGGTTGCTCATTGTGTACCTGTTGAAAAAGTAACAAATGTATCAGGAACAACAATGTCGCATAGAGTTAGTATTAAATTAGCGTTCTGCAAAGCAATTTTTCAATACTGTAATGAAGAGCACATATGCGAGGTGTTCAGAACTCCATGCAGACGGTCGCCAAGAATATGAAACAGGGCATAATTGATAGTACCACTTTTCATCGGAAATGAACCATCCGACCTTTATCCCCTCAACCGTCTCATTTTTTAATAAATATTTTGCTTAGAAATGTATATTTTTTTATTTTAATATAAAATATATTGCTTCTAAAAAACATATTTTGATTCAGGAAAAGAAATCTGGCATATATTAAATAAAGCTAGTGCAACGAAGTTTATTGTCCCATGACGTATTATTGCCTCTCATGATTCACAAAATAATATCATCATAAAAAAACTGGCAAATATAAAAAGTCTAATGACTCAGCTCAACAAAGTAAACTTCGACATCTAAATAATTAGTGCTTGAATTAGCTGTATGATGACAAAAAGTTTTCTACCGAGGTCTTCCGATTTGTAGTAATTTTTCGAGCAGCAAAATTTTCATTTTGAAGTATTTTGGCACAGCAAAACTTTTCAATTCGGAGCACTTTGGAATAGCAAAATGTTCCATTTTGAAGCAATCTGTAGCAGCTAACTTCAAATCCTGGAGCAGAAGCAAGTTGGATTTACATTCAAGGAGATGAAAAAATTATTTCTAGGCTCTGGTGAAGAGCTAGAAATATTTAAATTCATTGCAAATTTAATGAAGCCAATCATCTTAGAAGCACTCCCTACTTCAACCGATGATGAAAGAATAATGGTGTCATGCTGTTGAGAATTCTGGCAAAACTTGTTCAGTGATTATTTTCGTAGCAAATAAACAGAAGACTGGTTGAATAAAATTGTACGCCATGAAATTACAATATAAATACTCTTATGTCGTGATCAGAAGATATGGTAGACAAACGCTGTGATGCACAACGCTAGAGCTAGAGACTTCGCACAATCCCAACTGCATTTCCCAAAGATGACTTCAAGAATAAAGAAAGGTTATTTTCCTTCATGACCGATTAGACTGGTAGGTGTAACATGACGACATGTAGGTAGTCTCAGAAAGCCAACCTCCTCCGACACTAATCTCTATGCTGAAACTACACAGTTTAACAAACTTTATTTGCCTTTTGCAGTGATATTTTATGTGGCTAGGGCATTCTGTCTGTACTCCAAAAACCCCCTACCGTGTCTAGAAAGCAGTGCATAAAAAAAAGAAATTTCACAGGGTACCTTATGCATACGCCTAAGACGACTAGAGGGCACGAGCCATTTTCTATTTAGTGGTATAGCAATTACATACACAATCTTGACTGGTTTTGCTGTTGTTAAGGGTGTAGCCAGAAATTAAAAAATTGGTGGGGGGGGGGGGGGGGTCGCACTTTCATCTGAGAGGGCGGGGCAGGCAAAAGGTTATCGTGCACTATATATATGCCATGACGAAAAAATTTCGGAGGTGGGGGGCATGTTCCCGATGTGCTCCCTCTCCCTTGGCTAAGCCACAGGCCGTCATGTTTTGTGTAATGTCCAAATCGATAACATTCCCCGGCGCATCGTTGGTGTACCATGCGGGTAAAAGCTTGTGAGCGGGGACGACGAACGCGGCCAGAGGTAAGAAGAGCCGACCTTTCAACTCGCCCAAGAAACAGCATTCTCATAATTTATCTCCATTGCACCGAAGGCGGATACGATAAGATCACTCTGTGCGCCAGGCCTCCCCTCGATTGTTACTCAAGCAGAGAGGTACATGCTGCCTGTGTCCATGGAGCAGGAAGGAGCTAGGAACCCAAGGGGGGGGGGGGGGGGGGTCGTTATGAACTTTGACATCAAGAGTGTGATGGCTGGCACGTGCGCTATTTACGGCTGGTATACCCTTCTACCTTGTACTCTCAACATGAACAGACTGTGGGAAAAGTGCTTCGCTTTCTAGAGCGGCCATATAAGGGTATGCACTGAGCCTTGATCTCAAGGCGGCCACACCATCGTCACCCCATTTGTACGTGCCATTCATGCTGTACCGATAAAATCACACTTGTAAAAGCAGCAAAGCACATGCCTGTCGATGCCCCGCCACGGTGGTCTAGTGGCTATGGTACTCGGCTGCTGACCAGCAGGTCGCGGAATCAAATCCCGGCTGTGGCGGCTGCATTTCCGATGGAGGCGGAAATGTTGTAGGCCCGTGTATTCAGATTTGGGTGCACGTTAAAGAACCCCAGGTGGTCAAAATTTCCGGAGCCCTCCACTACGGCGTTTCTCATAATCAAATAGTGGTTTTGGGACGTTAAACCCCACAAATCATCAAATCAACATGCCTGTCAACACTGTTGTTGGCCGCAGATTCTATCTCACATTAGCTACAAGCTTCCGTTGATGCTTACATTACAGCACAATGGCCAAACATGCAGTATCACCATGTTTGGTATTATTACGGCATCTCTCTTTAGATATTTTTCAAAGAAAACGCCAGCTGAAGCAGCCAGCAGGGCACTTTACACAAGTCTGATTCTATCTGTACGTGCATCGTCGTTCAAGAGACGTTCTAGGAGTTTCTAGTCACCCAAGTCGCGCATATCGAACAACGCGCGTGTAGCAAGTTTTTTTAAAGTAAGGCGAGGGCACAGTCCTAGAAAATGGCAACCCCGCCGCCAGCGCTTCTTACAGATGACATCAAACCTTATTATTTGGTATAAAAATACAATTTGTTGGCATCGCATTCATTGCTAAGAGCGTAAGTGAAACTAACAAATTCTATCTTTTGGATCTGATATGGCGTAGCTCAGAAGAACATTGGCTAAAGGGACAATCATCACTTGAGATGCTGAAGCGGTTTTCGTGCTGTCAGTTATCTAAACGCGAATCAGAGGTTAGTAGCACAGAACATTTACGAGCAGTCTCATTATACCTTTCGAGTGATGCAGTAGCTTCTCCTCCCCCCTCCCTTCAAAACGAAGCAATGGATGCAATGCTGTGATGTTCAATTTTTTTTTAACCGTCAGCTATTTACCCTAGAAACAAGAGGTAGGCGTGTGACAAGGCGGAGCCTCATCACAGGCCTTCCGACACAGTGATGGCCTTACTATAGCTGCGCGTGTTAAAACCGAATTGCGGCTGCTCTGACCAGGAGGCATGCTTTTACTAATGAGATGACATTTAAAAAGAAAGCATGCGAACATTTTTAATTCGGACCCTAGCAACATCAAGTCCAAAAGGACAGGGTCTTTTAGGGGCTTTTACCGCCACAGCAATTATAAACACGAATGTGCTAGTGGAAGGAATCACAAAAAGCTCTTCTGTATGATGATCCATGAATAAAGTATATTAGAAGAAAAGTGTCAACGCGTTTCCACCATTCACACGTTCAGCTGCAGATGCAAAGCACGGAAAATTAGATTGCCATGTCCAGAAATAGACATGACAAACATTCTGGCGGCATGCGTACAGTCATTAGTGAAAATTGCTTTATATATTACATGCTGCACAACTCTTCAAATGAGCTGTCAGCAGCATTTCTGGAACGTACGACGTCTGCCGGATGAATCGCTGCCACAGTTTCCCGCTAACGATTGTACTAGACGTCAAGCGCCCGCGGAGAGCCCATTTCGCCGTTAAGCGGACTTGCACAACAGAGTCGCGTCGGCACCAAACATAGCATCGTGAATTTTAGAACGCAAGCGCGACCGCTGTTTATTCAGCGTAATAAAATATGTATGAGATTGCGACTTTGGTGGTCCCGAGACAACATGCATATTGACTTGCCAGCGTGGCTATTGCCGTTGACAGTCCCAAATCCGACATTGGCGCAGCTTGGAGGAATTTTCGTTGATATCATTAGAATATTGGCACAGTAAATCAGATTTGGCGTGCTTTAGTGCATTTGGCGCAGGAGTGGGATCACAGATTTTTTTTTTTAATGATGCACGACAACTGCATGCATCATTTTTACAGAACAACGCTTTCTAAATACAAGTTGCAATGAATGCGAAACGGTGATTAAAATAAATTACCATGCAAGTAGTGCCAGCTATACAGCGACACAAGCAAGGTAATTGACAAAGAAGCAAGTATTGCTCAAAACACTCACAAAAAGATATTTCAAACAGATAAACCGTTGTTTAACATGGTACGGACACAATTTGGAAAGGGTGAGCTATGCTTATTCAAAATGGTTAAGGGGTTGAAAAGTTTCCAAACCATCTCTTGCGCTCGGGGAGAAAACACACTGAACAAAAAGCAGACAGAGCTAGGAAGAGCTCGGCAAAAATCTTGTAGTTGTGTGTGGCAAGAAGAGTTCAGAGACGGAGCACCAAGCTGCCACTTTTTGAGGTCCCTTCCTTGAACATGGAGGCACGTTCTCACTCTTTTCCGAGCTACCTATATCTCGTTTTTGGAGTCACACAACAGATAGCATGCTACTGGCCCACAGCTGACTTAAGCCAACAGCGGCCTTTGCATCAGATGTACTGTTTGCATCAGGGTGCTGCCACGTGCCAGTGCTGCGCTCCACAGCCTGCTAACATCACAGAGTAGCCACACCAGCGAACAAATGAACAGCAATAGGACAGAGCGACTAAGTTTCATCACTCACACTTAAGGTCATAGTGCGTGTTGATATTTTTTTTCTCCCATGTTTTACTTCAGCGTGTAGCTTTCAGCGTTGCTCGTTGGCACAAAAGAAGAGAGAAAACATCAAAAGTATTCTCGACATTTGAATCCCAGAAATGTTTTCCGTCGTTTATTTGTGGGGACCCCTTTAAGCAGAACTGTTGTATGCGAAGCATCAACTGGAGTGATGCAAGGCTATACACTGGTCACACTGGCAAATTTAGAGTCATTTTTAGTGAGAGCACTTATGCCACCACAATATCACTTTGGTGGTGTGCTGCTGCATGAGAAAAAGAAGTGCACTTTGGAAATAATGGTCATGGCAATGGGTACTTAAGCAGCACAACAGGTATTTGCTGTTTCAGGCAATATTTCTTAGAAAGTCGTTAAACAATCTATTCGTACAAACGCAGCAGGTGTAGCCATTGCACGGCATGTGCTAGGCATGCCCCGGGAGATAGTGGCTGTTAACTGCCTGATACCTCTGTCACACGGCCACCACAAACTCTGTTAAACTCCGTCAATGTAAATCTCCTCAAGGGAGTTCAACGGAGATGGAGTTGTGGCAGTGTAACATAACAATGACAAGGTTGTAATAGTTGCCGCAAGGGGCTCAGCCGGTGCTGTTTGATCTTAGCAGAAGTATCCTAATTTCATCTATGGTCTTTTTTGTGAATCTTCGACACGCGGTTCCTGCATTATTCCTGGTGCTAGCTGGGTTCCCGAATGAACCAGAGTAGTACTAGCATACGGCACATAATCTTAATAACAATTGTTGTTTTTTATGTCTATAATTACAATATGAATATGAGGGACGTTGTAGTCTGTGGCATCGTGATTTGCGTTATCATCACTGCCCGCATTGTTGTATAAGTGTCTAGGTGCTGTGAAAACTAAGAAGGAAAACTTTGAGAAAACAAAAGACACGTGGGCAAGCGCGTGAACATCTATGTTCACACGTTGGTTTCTGCCGATACTGCACAAGCCTAGACATGTTGCTTTGCCTCACCAAAAAGGATGCGCACATCTCATTGCTTGCCCTTACTGATGGACTCTGGCCAAAGGATACAGTTATGGCGACATCCTTTGTTATACTGATTTGGCTTAGTGGTATCAGTATCGGCTTCCCAAGCAGTATTCAGTCAGCGACTCTGATTTCACACGGTGGTGTTACGATAGCAGTACTTGGTATTTTACGACACACTATACATTATTGAATGTATTGAAAATACAGATACTTGTTTTGCGAGATGTATCATGATACAGATACAAAATACCCAAGGACTAAGATAGTATCTAAGATACATGCATCTTCGATACTGTCCAGCCCTGCTTTCAAACAGCTACATGAAGAAAGTAAAGGGTTCAAAAGACAACTTTCCACCAGCAGGGACCGAATCGGCAACCTTCAGATAATGCGCCCGACGCTCTACCGATCCAGCTACAGTGGCGGTCATATTCCTGCCCACTTTATTCGGTATTTTTCTGCATGCAAACTTCGGATTGTAAGGCAGTGCCGCATGTAGCCATGGCAGAAAGTGTGCAACACTATTTTTCTGCCAGCTGTTGTCATGTAGCATGCAATCTTTTCACAAGTTGGCAGCTGAGCAATCAGTTTTGACATACAACCTGAAGGTATCAAGTCTGCCAAAATGAGACCCTTGCTATGGATGAATGAAACAAGGCAATTTAGCGGCTTGTTTTTTGACTCAACCTTGATGAAGACCAGCAGATAAAGAAGCCAAGGAACTGGAAGGTATAGGGAACGTTCCATGTTCCGTTTTATGTCTATTGCAGTAATTGTGGTATAAATGTGAGGAAAGCAAAATGGACAAACAGGCAACCCATCAAGTCACTGCTGATGCTTCGTAACATCATAAGTACATGAATTACAGGGAGAACCACTTAACATATGTTTAGGTTCCCCTAGGAATTTTATAGAGGACTGAGGAAAACCACTTGACTTGTAGATTATCAATGGTCATAACCAGTTCCTGTGAAATTCGGCAATGCGTGACCTGACTAAACAATGATTATATACTGAAACCTCAATATAACGAAATATCGGTCATAATGAAGTAAATGAAATATATTCTTGCAATCGATACAGTGTTAGGCATATAGCTTTATAAGAAATTTTTTGTTACAAGGAACTTCATGTAAGATGCAACTTTGTTATAATGAGGCTTGACTGTAACATATTCCTACACCTGCCAACCTAGGAACATCTGAAATCAGGAGACTTGTCGCGAGAGTGGAGGATGGGTAGAAGAAAAAAACATGGGAAAAAAAACAGATGACACAATCCACCTTTCCCACGATGCAAAGGCACATGCACCCTTCTCTAGCATAAAAGTAGCGAAACGGCTTCAGGTTTTGAAGGCCTTCGTTCTAGCTAATGCCAGTTCTCCTAGCCCTTACCAAAACCCTACCAAAACGTCAGAGGGTAACGCGGGAAAATGGAAAAGGTGAATTGTCCGGCATACGGCCCCTCTGAATGTGGCCTAAGAACATTCGAAGAGGGCCTGCAGTGTGACTGAAAGAACTTAGCCTCTTTACAGTCATTGTACACTCCTTGAACTGAGCAATAAAAAGAGAGACGTGCCCATTAGTGTGAGCGGATGGGGTGTGTGCATGTTTCTGGTGAAAGGAGAAGAGCCCAGTGAATGACAGGAAACAGCAGTGGCCAGTGAACCTTTTGAGCTATGTTTCACCGGTTTTTGCTTCATGGTAGTGTTTTTCTGTTGTTTTTTCAAGTTGGATTGAGGCAGTTTATCAGGTGATTTCTGGGTGCAATAGTACAATCAGACTATCGGGAAGACGAGCAGAAAATCGAGAGTGTCTTGGGCAAATTGGGAGAGTTGACAGCATGGGTATGCATTCTTTTTTTTTAATTTATTTTTCCTATCTCCAGCTTATTTTAGACAAATAAAATGTGCCTGTAGTGAATGTTGGCCAAACACTCTGCCCCAAGACCACCACAGAGAAAAATGGAAGTGCATACTTCTGCAACTTATAGAGCGGAGGTGTGATTCCGCCAAACGAGGAGGCAATGGTGTTCACCTCCACCTGCTTGGGGCGGGCCTCGTGCAGTTCCTTGGTGTCACCTGACTTGAGGTCAAGCATGTAGTCGCTCCTCAGCAGGCCCAGGCTTATCGGCTGCATTCATCAGGAAACAAAATCCCGTTTTTTAGATTTTACACGCTACAGAGTTACAGCCAATTATAACAGTCATCATAGCGGGAAAGGGGGGGACTTGAAATATATTATGACCATGCTGCATTTTTTATGTGCAACAGAGGCCTTCATTCTAACGCATTTAGAGGGCAACCAGCATGACCAGGAATGAATCTGCAAACTTGTGCTCAACAAAAAAAATGCTGTAGCTAAAGTGTTATGTTATGAAGACCACGTGAAACTATCATTGCAGACGTAATCGAAATTTGCAAGTTGTTTACAATGAAGTGCAGTCCAACAATATGATACATGCGTGGAACAAAATGAACAATGTTATCGGTGCTGCCGAGGTTTATGGCAATGGAACAAGTGGAGGGGCTGTAGGCAAGGTTATGAAAAAATTGCCAGTCGATCATGCCTGTTCTCAAACACTACACCATTATAAAGAACCTGATTTCATATTCGGAGGCAATATCTTTCTCTGCAGTAGCATAGCCAGAAATTTTTTTTGAATGAGAAGGGCGGGGGGACAATAAACTACGCCTCATGCACACATTTTTTATGCACAACTATTAGATGAATACAAAATAGCAATATTACAGGGAGTTTGAACACCCCTTGGTACGCCAGCATTTCTCTGTACAGTAAAAGCTCATTAATTTCGAACTTGAAGGGTACCATAAGGTTGTTTAAATAAAGCGGAGTCCGAGTTCGTGGGCAGGTGCTAGAATGAAGATACAATGCGCCACACTATGCGAAGAAAAATTAGAGAAGCAGTCTCCGGACTTGTTCTTGCAAATTAGGCAATACTACATATTTATGGCGGGTAATTTTGTAAATCAGGTTCATGCTCTAAGAGTGAACACAATTTATTAATCAGTCACTGATACGCCAGAAACAAGCAGCGACTTGAAATCATGTGAGCAGTGAGCCTTAATGCCGAAATAAACGAAGCTATTTGTGCTCCAAAATACGTTCATTTATATGGCAGAGCCAATGTCTTCAAAATTTAGTCTTTCTTACTTAGTTAGTTTCAGGGGCATAGGCAAAAATATTTTGGGAGGAGGGCTTCTTTGAGATCTGAAGTGGGTGCCGGGTAGGCAAATGGTTATTTCACACTTCAGAATTTCTTTTTTAGGGGGGAGGGGGACGGGACCATGAGCCCAGTGTGCTTTGCCACTGATTTATTTAGAACAAGACTGAAATTGTCCAAAGAAACATGGCTAAAGGCAAACACTGCATGACTGGGCCGTGCCGCCCATACAACAGTAGCAGCAGCCAGACAACATTTACAACCATAAACTCACACATGGAAATCAATCACTACACTTGTTTTGTATAGATCAAAGTAATCAGTAACTGGGTGATCATTCTAAGCCGATATGTGATCAGACTAGGCCGATTTCTGCAACGAGGGACAAAAGCCTGGGGGCTCCCAGTTCGAATTAACTGTTGTAGATCCCAATGCACTCGAATCATCAGGAGTTTTCCCCATAGAAAAACGCAGGGCTGTGTTGCGACCATGGCATCAGTTCAAATTACCTGTAAGTTTGAGTTAAAGAAGTTCAAATAATGAGCTTTAACTGTAGCAGCCCTGAACTTTCACTCTGACAGCAAATGTTATTTGCAGAACAAAGATATCTGCATTAGCTCTCACATCACTCATATATTCAGCTGTACATATGTAAGGCATATACTACATGTACAGCCATCAGCACCTTTAACTCGAAAACACCGACGTTTGGCTTTAGCTCGCTTGGACTGAGGTCAGCGTCACCAAGTGTTGAAAATGATATGCTTGCCGCAGTTAAGGATAGATGTAGCGCATGCAGGTTTCTCTAGTAAATCTCTGCTTCTAGTCTGCCTGACTGGAGGGTCAAATGCACTCACTTCACACCCTGTTTTTACCACATTTTGCTCGTGGTTGCATTATCGCGTGCACCAATGGCGTTGTCTTATACCTATCTCGACAATGAACCATTGCGTGGGACAGCTTACGCACATTTCATGCTAGAATTCGCAACAAAGAATCACATGTATAAAAAGCAGAACAAACGCACGTTCAAGGCATTTGTAAAAGTTGCACAATAAATCTGAATTGCAGTGGCGTTGCTCATGTTCTGATTCAATAACTTTTAGACAGCATGAATTGAACTGTTCTTGCAATTCAGAGTGTGCCTTCCTGCTCAGTTTGCCGTGCACAGAGAATGTGGCCTTGGAGTGCAACATTTGTGCGGATAATAATATCTGGGATTTAGCATCCCAAAACCACGATTTCATTATAATATGGCAACTGGTTCAAACTTTTATGCGATAACTACACACGAAAATTACTTTCTGTGCGTTGTATCCATGCGTCTTTCTTGCTGAGAAATGCACAAACATTGCACTCCAAGATGACATCTTTCGTGCAGCATGAAGCGAACAAAAAGGCACACTCTAGATTGTGAGACATGTTCAAGAACAAAAAGGCACACTCTAGATTGTGAGACATGTTAAATTGACTCTGAAAATTATTAAATCAAAACATGATCAACGCCACCGCATTTTAGATTTATTTGTTGTGAAACTTTTACAGACGCGATTAACATGTGTTTGCTCTGCTTTCTATAGTTGTGATTCCTTGCTCTGAATTTAAACTTGTAAGGTGTGTAAGCTGTCACACGCAATGATTCATTGTCGAGATAAGTATACAACAACGAATGCCATGGGCGCACGGGATAACATAGCATAAGCGAAACGTGACGAAATCGGGGTGCGAAGTGAGTGCACTGAACCCGCTGGTAACGCAGACAGGAAACGGAAATTTACTAGTGAAACCGACGCACGCTACATGCATTGTTAACTGCTGGAAGCATTTCATGTTCAACATGTGGTGGCCCTGACTTCAGTTCAAGAGAGCCGAGGCCACGCATCGGAGCGTTCGAGTTAAAGCTGCTGACGGCTGTACATGCCTTAGTAAAATTGAGAACGAACCAGAAAGCATGTGAGAGTTAGCGATAAAATTTGTTCAGTATGTGTAGTGTTACTTTTTTTTTACAAACATCACCTGCCGGGATCCACTGTCTGAAGAGATAGGGCATTGAAATGTAATGTACCAGGCCAAAATAGCCTTGTCAGTGCATAAACAAAGACAGCTTCTAGTTCCTTGACATGCTCTTGGTGTTCTTCCCTGGCCGCCATGCCTGTTGGAAGCATGCACAGAGATCGGCAAGACCACCATTGAATTACACCTTGGGTCACACCAAGCCAGTAAAAGATGTGATGGTGCTTCCATGTTTTTTCTCCATGCTGGAGAAATTGTGTCCCCATGTGTTGCGTAGGCAATAATGCATAGGCAATAAATAAGAGAGAAGCTGGCTTCAAGGAGCAAATGCTTTGTTCCGCAACAGAAAATCTTGTATGAGATACTAAGAAAGGCAGGACAGGCACAGAAAGAATGTTGAGCAAAGGGAAGGTAGGAAAACAGCTGTACTTCTATTGCACAGTACTCATGAATGGAAGTGAGACAATTTGGGACTAAGTAGTGCCGATATTGTTATTTCCACTCTCTTCAGTTCAGGTCATTTTGGCATAGTTTTGACTCGAATGCATACATCAGAGCCAACATTATCTTTAAAAACTAGATTCACAGCGAAATGGAGTCGTTATCTCAAGCTGTTGAGCATACCAGATGTGATATTAATAAATTTGCAGTAGCATTTGAATTTGTGAGTACTGCAGATGCACTGACCAACTTCCTTGAAAGGTAGCATCTTGTCATAGTGTTCAGGTGTTGTTTTCTTCCCTCGACAAGTTCAATTCGCCTTGTGCTAATGTCAACTGGCTAATTATAATGAAGCGTACTGTAAAGAGAGGCACGTTAACAGCATGTCCCATGTCACACTTCTGCGGTGTATTCACTCACACATTTCTCTGGTCATGTATATGTTGAGAAAATTGCCTCGGTTAGCAGTGTGTCAAGCACCTGCCCTCAACTAGAAGGTAGTGAAAGGAATGCTTCAGAGGGCCAGGGGCATTCCACCTACTAATTGTAGAGGCTTGGATTGCATCTGCTGTGTCGAATGATTTCTAGAATAAAGATGGAGATATATGGGTGCCAGGCGTAAGGAATGCATGCTCTGCTTTTTGACACCAAAGCCTAGACTACGAAGGAATCTTCTTTAAAGGCGTTGCAACTTCTTGGCGAGTGTCACAAAGGGCTTCTATGGTACATTCACATCAGGAAGCTCTCCTCCTGCGGCTCTGAACTGTTTCAGGCAACTCCACTCAGGGTAAAACCCCTCAATAGCCACGTTCATTGTCAGTACACGTCACTGCTACGTTCATAATTGTGCAGTAGCACTCTTGCATATGCATGGGTCTGTCGGGGCGCGGGAGTGACGCAGAGACGAAGCGTGTTGCTGAAAGTCCCAACAACTCGGGGACCAGTTCCCCTTTCCTCTCCCTCTTTGCGCCTGCATTGGCGGGGCAGAGGCAGGGAAGAAATGTCAGTTTGTAACACGCTGGCAGCGCCGCCTGCTGCGCCATGACGCATTTAGAATTCACACCACAGGTCCATCTGCCACGCTGGGGGCAAACAGAACTTTGTTCAGACAGCACTGTAGTCGTATCAGTGACAAAAGTACCTGACTTTGTTTTACTAGAATTTGAAGCTGTTGTCCACGCAAGAAAAATAAACTATTATGGCTTGTTTTAAAGTAACACACGCTCTTACCACTGCTAAACACAATGGCTGACATGCAAGCAGGCGACATCTAAGTGGTTTGGTGGTTCAAAGCTCTTCTGACTAGCTTATTAGGAGATGTGCAAGACATTGAGTGCGTCCGTTTATATCTACTGCCTTCTACAGACACCGGACCTGTGCTCTTCGTTGAATTTGACGCTTTCTTCGCCTCTGCTTTGAGATCGAAGGCAGATGCAATGTTCAAAATAAACTTACATTTTTGCACTCTGATACTTAACTGCTGCAAGGATATGTTTCTGCAGACACAGCGTAAAGAATTTTAACTTTTTGGGTTTCACATGCCCAAACAGTCTATTTAAACGAAACCTGAAAAACAAGGAAAGTGAGTTCGATTTAATAGGAGTTCTGTCTAAGGAAGAGGGGAGCAGGGGTCCAGAATTCAAGCACAAAATCAATCGTATTAGAGATAGTTGTTCCAAGGTAAAATATTCTCGTTTACTGAGCGTCTACAGCATAACTGAGAGATGCAGTAATAGGAGACCCTACATTGATTTTGAATAACTGGGGTTCTAGTACGTACACCTGATAGTGATGAAGAACTATCAATGGTACTATTGAGACTATCGATAGTTGAGTCGCTATCACGCTATCTATGGTAGAAGTAGCTATCGATACCATTCTCAATAGTAAGTTTCATAGTACTGTCAATAGCACAAAATCAACCACGCGAACTCATAGCAGCAGAAACTTGTATCCCCATGTGTGGTAATATATGGTAGAGCAGGAGAAGTAGGCAGAAGGGCAAGAAAGTTGACATGCCTACATTACTTCAGCAGAATAACTGGTGACACATGATAAGCTCAACTGTTTAGCCTTAGTAGGAGACGCTCGGCGGATTTTGTGACTGGCGGTTGTTTTATTCACGATCTCCTCTCTTTGACGACCACGCCGACTGGGGCCAGTCCACGGACTACTTTTCACTTCTCTTTCTATCTTTTCTAATCCTTCCTTATACCTTCCCTTATGAGCTACCTGCTGAGGTGTTGCACTTTAATGCAGACAGTTGCGGGGTTCACTTTTCATTTATAGGTTTTCATTTATAGTGGGGGTTGTGACTCTTAGTCGCAACCTCCACTTCCCCCCAGCTTTAGCAGAAAGGAGCCCGATACATGTGGCACAACTGCACGGCTTCAGACTTATATTGCGTATTGTGATTTCAAAATAAATATATCAAAAGCTAAGATTCTAATAAATGCAAACTGGAATTAGTTACTTTCGAAGGTGAATTTATTTATAGACATATTCTGGCATTTTGATTTTGGCAATAATTTCTGTTGCCAAAATAATGTTAATAAATTGAATAAACTGAGTATAACTGACTGTAGGCAATCACAGATGATTTGGCAATATCGCTACCCAGCAGCAGTATAATTATTCACAGCACTACTGATTATACTATCAGCTGTGATACTCCAGATGGTATGCTGCACTGTCAATAATATTAATTTTTTATTTATAGTAGTACCGATAGCTTTTTATACTATCAATAGTTCAAGAATATATATGCTATCAATAGTATCGATAGTCCATTTACTGATAGTTCCGCATCACTAGATCCGAGCCTAAGTACGCACGGGCTTTCTTCAAAGGTGAATACTTGAAAAACATCTGTCTACGGTAGTTGCGAAGTACTAATTCGAAAGTGAACAGAAGGAGAAATTACATCTCTCCTGCTAGCTTTTAATGGATCGTTCGCTTTCCTCAATGACAAAAAGACCATCTTACTATCAACAAGACACGGTGAAGGGCTCAAAATATTGTCTGTTCTGAATGCGAATTTTTTAAAATCAACAAGATAAAGAATCTTTGAGGAGTTAAAATTACAATGCAAGCACATCCCAAGGCACATCAATCAGGGAAAAATCTGCCCAACATCAATCTGCAAAGAATGGTAGAGGACCGCTCGAAGACACATGTCCGCAATATTGACCCAGGATTCGTGATCTTGGAAGTTGAAAAAAATTTGGCTGAATGTCCATTTTTAGAGATCTGGCTTCAATAAAAACAAACAACAGAGATGAATTTCAGATGATCAAACTACACTCTTGCAATTTTTGCATGATGAAGGTCTCCAAACCGCTACTGCATGTTTTGTGGGTGGAAAAAAGGGAAAGTTATAAAGGTGACCCTGCTGGAATGACCAGTCCCACGCTCAAAGCAGCAGTGAGTCTAAACATCAGGTATTTAAGTCGGTGTCAAACGAATCTGTTTATATTAAAATGGGTATTATTGAATTTCACTTCCATTAAAACGTAGTCACCATAGCTGAAAATAGAGCATGCATTCCCAACCTTAGCAACACAACTCCTCGACCTCTAGGCTACGGATGCGGGTTCCTTAAAAAATGATAGATACCCACTGAGTAAAACTTCCAACTGTAATACCGTACAATTTCTATACTGTCATACTGTACTAATGACCCAATTCTCAGTGGGATCAGCTTACCGTACAACTTCTATACTGTCATACTGTACTAATGACCCAATTCTCAGTGGGATCAGCTACATGTTAATAAAGCATGCAGTAAGTAGGAAAACGAAAAACAGTAAAGGTATATTGCCTGGGGAAACTCGGCTTCCCAAACCTTTTGGTAGATGTTGAAAATGGAAGCCGTGAACTCGTCAGTCTCGATTGTACTGCAAAAAAATGGAAACATCGTCATGATCTCAGTTGAGGGGAGATACGGTCCAGAAAAAGTTGCATTAATCTCGAGTCTAGGGCAATGAAATTTTTCCTGCATATACAGGCGTTTATGCCGATTTCAAGTATGTAATTACTTTTATAGCAAGTTGCATAGTTTTCATTTTGTGCCATGACAATGTGTAAAGCATAGCTCGTTTTGGACAAACTTTTTATGCCTGAAAACTTTTGTGGTTCTGAGCTATTAACGGCTCATATTGCCCTACATTAACTGCTAAATGCAAATAACTATGAAGAAAGTGGGTATAAAACACTTTGATGATGAATAAAATTGTAATGCGAGTCCTCAGCCTATAATAATAGCTTACTCTAAGTGTGTAATAATTATACAGGCGATATCAAGTTTTAAAGGAGATACTTTCACCGTTCACATGCTAAGGAATATGTGGGTCAAATTTCATCCCGATCGGGCTATCAGAAGTACTACCAAAAACATGATGCTCAAACTCAAGAAGCTGCTCAAAAATGAATCTTGAAAAAAAAAAAAAACGCATTTTAAAGGTATAAGTGAAAAGTCATCTATGCAAAAAAGATGTGTTTTTTTTTATATAATATTTCCCATCATGAGAGCTTGGAAATTATGGTTATCTTGATGATGTGGCTTTCTTAAACCCCTTATATGAAACGAAATGCCAAGCAGCCAGGTGACAATTTCCAGGGCACTCTGGACAATGAGCTGTATTTAGATTTTAGACCACACCTTGTGCTCTTTAATTAAACCTCCTTTGAGTTTAATTAGAGTATTCAGATTTTTTTGTTGTGAAAGCAGAGAAACTGAAATTCTGAAAGAAAAAAAAGTAATTTTGGAAAAAAAAAAAACTTGCGTGACTCGCATCTCCTCTTAAAGAAGTTTCAGCCAAACTATTCTGCTATGGCAGCTCACTGAAGTAAGTATGGGTTTGTTGGTGTGACTTAATACAACGCAAATCCACGGAAGACGAGGACACACAAGAGGCCTTACGCACGAGCACATGGGAAGCCTATTCTCTGCCCTAGTATTCTGCTGGTCATGCTATGGGAGGAAGAAGTCTGAACTAAATGAAAAGGCGTCTCTACACTAGTGGTGCCTGAATTGACGCAATGTAGCAGCAACAAGAACTGAACTGTTTATTGCGGGGCTCTTGGCCTTTTTATAGACCAAAAACCACGCGAGTCTCAACGCGAGCTGTAGCAAAGTGCACTGGGACTTGCCGACAGGTGATAAAGAAATCGTGTAAGTGAGTGCGGTTCGTCGACGATGCTGCATCTGTTTCCCTTTCAAAAGCTCACTCGTTCCAAAGGGCATCTTGTCCACGTTGAACGGCGAAGTAGACTTGGGATTTCTTCCAGCGCCCTTGTTTCTCGCATTGTGACGGGCGACTGAGGGGTCGTTGGGCTGGAGTTCGAAATGATCGCTTGCTTCTCGGGCATTTGCGTCCCGCTGAGTTTCCGCTAAATTGCAGCCGATCCTCTATGTGTTCATTTCTGGTGTGTCTGACGCCAGCCGTACCCTCAGCCGATCGACATGCTGCCGCTGCATTCCAAGAGGTGTCACCACTTTCCCCATCCAATGGACCCCTGTTGCTATTCAAGTTCCTGGTGGCCATTTCTGCCCTTGTTGGAATGGGCAGGACCAAATGAGCTTTCCGGGTGGAAAAAATGGTGGTGTTTTAGCCTATGAAGGCTGATCCCAGGTCAGCATGGTCTCTGCAGGCACTGAACGTAACTGTCTGCGGCTCGAATTCTAGCAGCAACGATACTGGTGATTTGTCATTCTTGAGGGGCGTAGATATGTAATGGAACAGAAAACGAGACAACTTTTCTTGCAATGTGCGTTCTTGTTTTCCTCGAGGCTCTCTTATATTGTTCGCACCACTCACTCTACCAGTCCATTTGATTGCGGGTGATATGGTAACGTCCTGACATAGTGCATGATATGTTCATGCATATTCTTTGCCATCATTGCGCTCGAAAACTGTGGCCCATTGCAAGACACTACACAGTTCGGAGTACCAAAACAACCACTGCTTTCCATAAGCAAGTGAGTAGTTGTGTCTGTGGTAGCTGTTTGCAGCGGTGTTGCCTCTATTCACTTTTTTTCTGTGTCAACTAAGACTCCAAATAAATACCCGTCAACAGGACCTGTAAAAGCCATCTAAACTTAATACCACTGTGTTCCCGACTAAGGCCATGGTGACAGCACTTGCGCCTTAGGCATAGACCACCCTTGCATATATTGATGACAGTTTTGCACCAATCTTTTAACGTCTCTGTCTAATCCAAGGTACCAAAATAGCATACGAGCAAGCCTCTTCATGGTCCCAACCCATAGGTGCATATCGTGCAGCTCACTGGGTAAGAACTCTCGAGCTGCCTCTGGCACGACCACATGATGACCTCAGCTATTGAGGCTATGGCTCACGACGTGCTCATGTCGGCGGGTGAAATACTGCTGCATATGTTGCAGCTGACCTGCAAGATGTGATGGCCAGCCCTACTTGATCGACTCTTGGATATGAAAAAGTGTGCTGCATTACCAAAGAGTCCTGGATGAAAGCAATTATTCAGCTAGAATAAAGGGCACTCGCATCAAAACCGTGCATATACACTACATCTTCCATGACTCCTCGACTACCGTGTTTATGGTCCCGTGACAAATGCAAGCGACTTGAAGTGTCTGTGTTATCATTGTGTGTTCCTTTGCTGTGTTCTAGATTGTTCTGTTAAGCTGATAGAAGAAGCACCAAAGGCTGAATTAGTGCTGCCGCCATCTGTGGGATGGGCTTGTTGAAATGGAAAAGCCCAGTGAGTGGCTTACGACCTGTCACCAGCCTGAAACACTTTCCCAGCAAGAAATCACGAAACTTGCCAATTCCGAACACAAAGTTGAGCGCTTTTTTATTTTCGAAGCATTTAATGGTCAAGTTCCATCCGGTGCGCGGTGTGACCACCCTTACTGCGGATGCTCGTCCCTTCCTTCCCTCTCTCACAACGCCGACAGAGGCAGCGTCTGTTAGCAAGTTTCTTGATTAAAAAAAAAACGACTGCTTGCACTGCACAATTGTTCACTGGCCACCCCATATATATATGCACTGGATCTTGGCCTCAAAGGCAGTGCCAGTGGGATACTTCTCCTGTGCGTTGTTGAACAATATGAATTCACAGCATGCCCGTTAACTCAAAGCAAAATGTTGGTGTCTGTGTCCAAACAGAGTATTCTGTCTCTCATTGCCCATCAGCAGTGATTGGAATGTTCCAGTAGGAAACTATCACAGCGTGCTTTGCCCCTTCCCAGGTTTCTCCCCCGCTCAACGTTGCGATGACCGCCAGCGTCAACGCCACTGCCAGTGTAAGCGCTAGCGCCCGCTGCTTTGCATCTAAACAGGTTCCCTCTAGCGGGAGACGGTGTATTTTTTTCTCAATTTGGGAGTAATAGCAATCTGCCGATGTCAGCGTGCTTGAACGAAATGCCATCGGTTGATTAACGCGATTAATGCAACACAATAATACTGCCCCTAGACCGTCTAATGCCGCATAATACTCCAGCCGCAACTCTTTCTGCAAACCTCAGTAAAACAAAACATTCGCCGTTACCAAGGCACACTTCCCTTCCTCTAAAACTCTTTCAGACTCCTTTTTTTTTTCATTCCATCTTTCTCCTTTGACCAGTAAACAATAGAATGGAGCCAAGATCATGGCCAAATTAGGCAAGAATTTTGAGCAATAGGTTACAAGCCCCAGAGAGGACTTAAGTTTGTTTACTGATTCTTTCTTTGGTGCAGCTTTACTGCTTCGAAGTTGTCCCGCAGCAGGTGAAGGCCAGTTGAGTCAACTTTGTATCCCAGATACTCAAGTTTTTTTGTTTTTTTTCGGGACCAACGTTTGGCCTTGTTCAGTTGGAGACCACTGTAGAGAAGTCTCTGGAACACCTGTCGAAGTGTGGACGCATCCTGCTTTTTCTCGGCAATTATCATGTCTAGGTACTCACACACTCTTGGCAAGTTCCACAATAACTCGATGCGCCGCCTGGAACAGTGCCAGAACTGATGAGATGCCAAAGGCTCATCGGTTGTACGAGTACAGGCCGGGATGCGTGTTGATGACAGCCATCTTCGTCTCTTCATCAAGTGAGAGCCAGCTATAGGCACCTCACAAATTCCATGTAGTGAACATTTCTCCCCCATGAAGTGCGGCAAAAATGTCATCCACCTTAGGCAAAGGGTAGTTGCCGTATTCATCGTGAGCTTAGAAGTCTGATGTCACCATTTTGTTTACCACAGGTACGACAGGAGCAGCCTAATCGGAAACGCTCACCGGTGACAGGACACCTTGCAGCCCAAGGCAGTCTATTTGTGCACAGACTGCTTTGCGCAGCAAGGCATCCTGTCACCAGTGAGTGCTTTCGAATGGGCTGCTTCTGTCGTACCTGTGGTGAACAATATGGTGACATCAGACTGTCCCCTAAAACAGTACCTAGAACAATACCTTTGCTTAAGGTGGATGTCATTTTTGCTGTGCTTGAAGATAAAGCACGAAGCATGAAAGTACAGCAAAGCTGGGCAGCCTTGCTTGCAAATCTTTATTTTTTCTTTCTTCCTCACTTGTTGCTTCTTGTTTAACCCTTTGTTGGTTCATCTATACTTTTGACGTGGTGATATAAAAACTGGCTATGGTATATTAATATAAACAAAAAAATTCTATCGAAGAAATTTCATCGCAATCAACCAGTAGTTTTACAAAAAAAAAAGTGGGACATATATATTCCACTGACTCGTAAGTGTGGTTTCAAAAGGTGAGAAAATACTGCCCCACTGCCTCATGAAGGCAGCATCTCGCAATTGCATCAACAGGTGTTTGAGATAAAACGTATGCAGCTTCTTACAGAAATTAAGTGCATGCAATTTATCATCTGAAAGGCTGACACCCCCATTAAAGAGAAACCAAGAAAAAAAGAATA